AAGTGACAAAAAACAATAAAACCACCTTATTCAATATCTAGCATACAGATTTAAGACTAAAAAGTATTTGAAACTAGCACCTCTGATTCTAAACAAGGAAAATGAAGAAATTTTAGCACACTGACTCCTTTGGGCCCCACCCTACAGCCCTTGGGGGTAGGGCTGGCTCAAAATTTTCAAAGTATCAAACTGTCAATTCAAGGTTATAATTCCAATCAAGTTATTAACATGTAATATTCAAAGTTTCATTTGCCATTATAAACCATAATAAAGTTTGCCCCCCTCCCTCCTTCCCCAGGGGGTAAACGTGAGACCCTATGGTCATAAACCTTAAGACCCTTCCATCTATGAAGAGTGTTTGATTCTACCATATCTGGGTCTTTGAGAAGAAGATTTTTGAAATTTCAGTCAATTCAACCCTTTTCGGCCCCACCCATCAGCCCCTGGGGGTCAGTCAGGGCTCATATGTGCATACTATCAAACTGCTACCTAATACTGATAATGCGAACCCAAATTGAATTACTTCCAATGGAAATTAAACAATGTTGGTCCAAAATGTGATTTCCCAATATAAACTATAGTAAAGTTTACCCGCTCCCCAGGGGGAAACGTGAGACCCCAGGGTCAGGAAATTCACAATTTTTGTAAAGCACATTAAGACCCTTCCATCTATGAAGAGTATTTGATTCTACCATATCTGGGTCTTGAGAAGAAGATTTTTAAAACTTTAGTCAATTTGACCCTTTTTGGCCCCGCCCCTCAGGCCCCTGGGGTCTTGGGACTAAACCGGCCACAATTTTTGTTGACCTTTGTCCATGGAAGGTTCCTCCAAATTTCATTGAAATTGGTTCAGGGGTTTTGGAGAAGAAGTCGAAAATGTAAATTGTTTACGGATGCACGACGGACGACGACGACGGACAAAAGGCGATCGCAATAGGTCACTTGAGACTTTGTCTCAGGTGACCTAAAAATGTAGGAGAAAATCTTTGGACAAAAAAATCAAATACTGAAATGAACAAAAGGCAATAAATTTTACAAAAATCGTTGAATCAAAATTCTTTTAAGGAGACACAACTTCATACGATGATTATAAAGTATACCAAGTTTCAAAGAGATCGGTCGAAAAATGAAGGAGATCTCCGGACAAAATTCAAATAATGAAATGAACAAAGGGCAATAACTTTTGGAAAAATTGTCAATACAAAATTCTTTTACAGGGGACACAACTTCATATCATGATTATAATGTATTTTAAGTTTCAAAGAGATCGGTCGAAAAATGTAGGAGATCTCCGGACAAAGGTTCAAATACTGGAATGAACAAAGGGTAATAACTTTTGGAAAAATTGTTGAATCAAAACTATTTAAAGGGAGACACAACTTCATATCATGATTATAATGTATACCAAGTTTCAAATAGATCAGTCGAAAAATGTAAGAGGAGATTGCCGAACAAACAAAGTTTAAGCCGAATGGACAACGCCATACTATAATACTACCGTCAAATTTGACGGTCGTATAATAATACCTGGATGCACAATATCAGGTAGTAGATATCATATCTAAACAAGAGGCCCAATGGGCCTGCATCGCTCACCTGGTATTCATCTCACACTTGTAATCTTAAAAGTGGACTAAAATACAGTTACAGGCAAAATATCAGTGTTTCATTCATAAGAACCTATTAAAAGATTTAAACATATGACACCTGTGACCTTGAATGTCGAACAAGGACATTATAATATTAGGTTGAACAGAGTTTATAGTCTTCCAACCCAGCATGCTTCTGGAAAATTATCATTACCCTGGACCTTTTGGTTATACAGAACAGATCATTTTAAACATATATTGACCACTGTGACCTTGAATATGGGCGAAG